TAATTAAAATTGAATTATTAAATTGTTTGAAAATATTAAAATTTTTTTAATGTTAAGATGAATACTCTTAATTTTTAAAATAATAAAATTTCGAAAATTAGCTTACTTTACAATCCATTCATCACATTTACCATCATTTTTTTTTACACCAATTCCGTAGTAGTAACAAATGGCAGCTTTTCGAATTCCTATAGAATTACCCGCTTCAGCAGATTTCAGATAATGTGTAAATGCTTTTTGTTCATTTTTTTCAACTCCAATTCCTAAATGGGTCATTCGTTACACGAGAATTAGGCATAAATGACGTAAATAATAAAATTTTTTAAGCATAATTTTTTTTTTTTTACGCTTGACTTTTTCCTTTTTCGTTCTTGACTATTTTTATAAAATATAAACCTGTATTCTGTTGGATCACATTAAAAAAAGATGACGAATGTCAATAAAGCCAAATTTCGCAAGCCAACAAGTGGTGAAATAGATGGAGTCATTAATGGTACTATTTCCAAAAAGCAACAGCTGAATGGGTTAGAATTTAGAGGCATAATGGTGTTGAATCTATTACGGATAAGGATCAGTTTATTCTTGGAATTCGTACTATTCGTACAAATGAGGAATATTCACAATCATCATTAATGAATTATATTAGGTTATTAAGCGTATATTGTAAAGCATCTTTGTGGAACCATGAAGTTCAATTTAAGAATGCGACAAGAATTTGCGCAACTGTGGGAGGAATTAAATGAAAAAATACAACAATTAAAAAAGAAAGGAATAGTTTCACAGCATCACGATCATTTGATGGAAAAATATTTTAGCATGAAAAAGTTTCAATCGATACTTCTCAAGGATTACTTTATGGAATTTTTATGTGCTGTTGTCTTCTATTTCAATCTCATGGCGGAGAGCACTATAAAATTTTAATTAAACAAATTACTTTTACATCTAATGGAAGTATTCATTTTGTGAAGAATTTCAAAAAAATAATGAAGGGCGTTGATGGAAATTCTGATGCCTTAATTATTCCTTATCACTGATACGGAGGGTTATCAAGGGCCCGTGCATGATTTTAAATTTTAATTATCTAAAAGCCGTTAAATTCAAGTTGCGATTGACTTTATTTACGTATTAATAAAGAAGCGAAAGGTAAAGTTACATTTATTTTATTTTTACTATTTTTTTTTTTTTTTTTTTTTTTTTTTTTGCCATAGAACTTGTGCAGGATCCATGGTTTTACGATAGTCAATTAGCAAAATGAATACTGATCTTTGATGAAAGAACCCTAG